CTTAAATCGCACTTTTTTTCGTAGATATTAATTTTTATTATTACAGAAATAAATGTTAGTTATCAAACTTCTTACAATACAATGTTTTTTTTCTTTTGTAATAAACTACAACACAATAGTATTCCAAGGCTGGTGTTGACAGAAACTGATTAAAAATTTAATTTCAGGAATCAATTTAGTTTCCATTGTTTCAAGTGTAGTATATTAACATGTATTTATTAAATTGTTACTAAAAATAAGTAGAAAGGTAAATTGTAATTAATTATATATACATAATATATTATTACAGGGGTACATTTTTCCTTTGTTTTTCATGGTGTATGGTTTGTGCATATATGTATACAGGGTATCCATTCTATGGTTTCCACGTGCGAACCGTTAAAATGAATACCCTGTACATGCACAAAAATTTAGGTAAAGGATAATTAGAAACACTCGAATCGGCCAATGCCTCATTAGAGAATACTATTACTGATCCCAGTCTTTTTATGCATTGCCATCTTTTGTATACAATTGTAATAGTTTATTAAATTATTTCAGGAATCGTTCGTTTTGATCAAAGCAGAGATATTGTAAGAAGATTCTTTTAGGTATTCTTAAAGTGCAATAGCTTCTTTCTAATAAGTTAAGTACAGCCAATCTGATATATGAAAAAGAAAAGATGCAACTGGCTTTGAGTATTTCATTAACTAAAATAGAAAAGGCTATTCCCCATGCTTAAATTAACCCTGTCAATACATGCTTTTATTATTGACACTTCATTGGGAAAATTCTTTATGGGATCACATTAGATTTGGTCTTCTTAGAGGAGGATGTCAAAGGCAAGGTCTTTTCCGAACAAATTTTAGAACTTTAACTTCGCTGTGTTAACAAAACGAAAGATTGTTTGATAAGGCTTTTTTGTTATTCTCATCAGATTGAGAAAAGATCATAATCTTTCTGATTATCTAGGTATTTCTTTTACGAGGAGAGCGTACAGTAAATTATACCAGTGTTTGTAGTAGTATTTCATGTTTAAGAGCTCTTGCAGGTCATGGCTGTGAAGGTACCTACCGTTTTAGTTGCGAGCAAACAGTTAACCAATTAACTTTTCGTGAATTTCTATTCTAGAGGATTTATATTTGAGGTTCTTCCAGAAGTGATTATTTTCAACGGCCCTCTATCGATAAAGAGAATCAAGGAAGATTTTTTATTTTATTTTATTTTTTCTAGTATGGACTATAATGATTTATAGAATTTATTAAAAATATGTCTGAGATGGTTCTTCCTCCATACCCGGTGAAGAAAATGACTCCATGTTGAACTACATTTGAGAGTCTATGGAGCTGTTATGGGGCTTCCAGTAATGATCTAATTCTGTTTCAAAGTATTTATCTGTCCACTCTTTTGGGGTAGGCTGATTAGAGATAATACAAAAAGGTTGATTCAGAAGGCTTGAATTTTTTGAAAAATATTTAGGGTTGTGTTTAAAAGCCATTTTTATTATATTCAATTATACTTTATTTGATTTGTTTCATAAACATTTATTGCAATAAGGTACCATGCATAAATATATGGCTCTAGTTATTACTTTTATACTACATTAAAAAATTAATATACATTATACAAAGATCAACATGTTGCCATTTAAGAAACGGCCTGCGGCGAGAAATTACTATACTTAATATGAAATTTCAGAAATAAATAAAAATAAAACTATATTATTTAAATTTTAGTCAAACTTTTTATGAAAAAAAAAACAAACAAACAAATGTTTGTAGTTTAAACATATATCTTCTATTTCTTGAATGCTAGTAGATTATACTCTAATAAAGTAGTGTATGACACTCATAAATGATTTTAATTAATGAATATAGTAAAACAAATTCCGTACTAAAAAGAAAATGTAATGAAAATTTAGTTTTTAAAAAATTCGTTCGTAATAATGATATTATAAACACATACTTCATAAGAAAATGCAGGAATGTTCATTTTGTTTTTTTGCTTGATTAATTTGTGTATTCGTAAACGTATTTGTGATTTAAAACTATAAAAATTGCTAAAGTATTGAAATTTTATTTTCCTAATAACATATTCGCAGTATTTCGTTTTCTAATAAATATGAAATTATGTAAACATTTCTATTACAATAAAGTATATTTTCTAGTACGAATTTGAAGACGTTTATTATTTCAAGCACAATGTGCTGTCAGTTTTGATAAAGAAACAAGCAGAAAGTAATGCTAAAATTTACACATTTCATATTCCGCGTAAAAATTGTTTAATTTATTATATACATAAGCAGTTATGGGACTTTTACAGTATTGCAGTTATTCGTGAAGGTTTTCGTACACTCTATAAAAAGGTAATTTATATTGTATTGAAGAAACTTAATGTAATAATATTTATTTGATAATGTATGAAGTAATAACAATTGTAACAATGGGTATTCTAAGAAAATTTGCACAAAAATAGAAATCACTAAAAGAAGTTTTTATAAGTTGTACGAAAATTCGTGAACGACAGAATGTTTTTCTTTGGTGTTTTTTATATTACATTTTTCGATCCCCTTCGCCTGAATCTTCCTTGGGACTCTCTTCCTTGAGCATATCTTTCTTGACTTTGCTTAACAATTTCTTCCTTCTATGCCGTCGTTTTCTTTCTATTTAATAAAAATTAATATTTCATCTATTATTATTTTTTTTTGTTTTATGTACTATATTAAATCGTATACCCATTTTCTTAGCCATGTTAACATTTTCTTCCATTTTTCTATTATATTTGTCTTGTCTCTTTTCCATCATAATTTCACGAGCAGTTGTTACTTCATCTTCTAAGTACCATTTCAGCGGTCCTCTGCATCGTTTACATATCATTGGTTCACCTAAAGGTTCAATAATTTGTTTATACTGGTAGCAGCTCTTGAAGCAACACCTCAATAATTACCACGTTGTCTACGTCGTCGACCAGATTCATCGTCCCAATCAATTTGCTGACCACCTCGGTACCTACTTCGTTGTCCACCTAGATAACCACGTTGACCACTTCGGCGTCCACTTCGATATCCAGCTCTATGGGAACCGCGATAGGCGGAGGCCAGAGCTTCATCATCATCCCGAATGCGAAATTTGATATTCGGTCCTCCACCAGTTGAATCGCTTGTTGGGAAAAGTGGTATGGAATCTTGTTTTGGTACGAGTAATTTTGGATCCTGATCTTTATCACAACAAAACCCATAAGGTTTTAATAAAAGATGTTGTAAAGTGTTGACGTTAGGTTGATTTGTTTCGCCCTCTTGCATGTTTTGTTCGGAATATTTGATATTGATATACTTCAAATTTAGATAAGAAATATGTTAAACAAAAAGAAGAATCATTTTCGGTTTTTGTTAAAAATAGGTTTGAAAAATTTAAAAGGACTATCTAGGAAGATCATGGTTTATATGTTAAGTATAAGACCTGTTATATGCTAAAGTACTAATCGTTGGAAATTAGGCATTTATTTAATAAAACTTATAAATTGTAAAAGGTATTAGAAATTATTGCTAACACGTATAAATAAAATGTTTTTATCTTAATCACTTTTTGTGTAGAAGATTTGACATTTCAGGTATACACTTGGTTTAAAATTGAATAAAAATTTGAACTTCAAAAATACAAATACAATTTTCCCGCTTCTATGATGACATACGTATTCGTTTTGATTGATTCCATCATGTAAACCATGTGTATTTAGGAAGTGGTGCTTTGCACATATAAATGAACGATAGAACTTAAAAAAAAGTGTATACTCGAAGATCATCAAGTAATATGTAGGATTTTGTAACATTATTTATAAAATTATGAATTCCTCTACTTTATCATCTGGAACTTTGAGCCATTCACCAGGACAAAGAACTTCGGAATCCCAAGAATCAGAACTAACCTCTGTTGGGAATCAGACATCGAAAATTTTAAATCAAATGAAATCCGAGTTACAGGAACAAAAACAACAGGATCGTCTACTTCGAGAGTTACACTTAAAACGCGTTCAATCTTTAAGAAAGGAATTGGATTACATTAAAGCAACAGAGTGGAGATATCAACCAATTGATCGGTATATCCTAATTATCGAAAAATTTTTATACTACAAATATTCGTTTGTAAATAACATTAACGTGAGTTTTAATAACAATAATAAATGTTCATAGGTATATGGATAGAAGTAATAAAAATTAAATATGCTATCACTTATACATAACTTTATAAAGTATACTATAGGATATAAGTCAACTACTAAAGGTGAAACAGACGAAATAAACAATGTCATAGCTCGAATTGAGAATGCTTATGATAAAGAAACACAAGAAGATGAATATTCGAATAAAGATGTTTGTTATTATAAAACAGGAAACATAACATTGATTGCTACAGATTATATTGTAATTGATGACTTTTATGTGTGTGATGCAGTAAACATTTTAATAAAAAACTTAAAAGTAGGTGATAGAGTTTATTACTTGGCTTCACAAGATAATGAGAAAGAATACAAAATAAAAAAAATAATTTCTGTGATACCTGATTCATGGGATAATGATGTGACAGATTTTGAAGCGAATATTGTTGAACCACAATCATTAACAAAATGTGTTATTGGAAAAGTTATAGAGCGTAAGAATCGGCTATTAGTTGTAGAGCCTAATAACATTTCTGTTGACTTAAATACAGTACAATCTGAATTTATTCCTGTGATTGGAGACTGGTTAAAGTTAGAATCAAAAGTAGAAATCAATGAAAATTCTGATAATCTAAATGAAGAAATTTCAGAAGTAAAAAAAATAGAACCTTTGCGATCTAAGTTAGATATTGGTACTATATCTAGTTATGATCCAATTAAAGAAATAGGTATTATTGGAAAAGATACTGTATTTAATAAAAGAATATGTGATTCTGGATACATTCCTTGTGTTGGTGATAAAGTGATTAGTGACAGTATTGAAAGTGATCAAGGAATTTATACATGGAGGTCATTGACAGTGGCCCCAATACTTCAGGCAAGTTTTGTTGGGTAAATTAATGTCTGTTTAAAAGCATTATATGAATTTAAGAAGTTGTATTATATGAAAAATCCAAATGTAATGAAAATACATTTTTTCCTTATAGATCTCTGGAAAAGAAACTAAATTACCAGCATTGTGTAATACTCTTGTAACAAAAAAGAATTTAAAGAAACTTGCAAAAAACAAGTATGATATTATTATTAGTGACAATTTAAATATTGTTTTAAATGTATTGGAAGAAGCTAATGTTACTGTTACAATAGAAAATGTAGGTAATACTGCTCATGTATTGCACAGAGGTTGTTTCATGATAAAAAAGGCCCATTCTCAATTAACTTTAATACAACCTACTAATCCTAATACAGTTTCAGTATTAAATCCTTCTGATACATTAACTTACATATTTAAATGCACAGCAAAGTTTATTGGTACAAGCAAAGAATTATTTATCTTTAATTTCAAAAGTTTTGAAATTGGAAGAGTTTTTAATATTACTGTTAAACCTAAAACTATACAAAACAAGTCATATTGTAAAAGTAATAATATCAACTTTAATAAATGTTGCTTGCCAGACCTAGATGAATGGAATCAAGATACATACATTCCAGGCATTCGTCCATGTAGACCACCATCATTTATTAAAGTACGAAATGCCACATTCAAAGTTCCTAAATACTATTGGGACATAATATCACAGTGCATCAATGAAAAAAAATCACAAACTGAATGTGAATATGACATAGGAAATTCTATACCTTACCTATTGAATAGACTCTGTTTTGAATCATATAAAGATCGTTTTCATGCTCTATTATATTTAGAAGAAATTGCTCAAACAATAAATATGCAACAATATAATATAGAAAGCACAATTATGAGACGTTCTGGAGAATATCTGGTTATGCAAGTGCCTGGACTTGCAGAGAAACGTCCATCTCTTATTATTGGTGATCGTGCTATAGTATCTTTTAAATGGGATAGTTCTCAAGGTATGTTATTAAATGTGAAAATATACAATGTCAAGTTTACATGACTAAATACATGTACATATATAAAAACTCATCCTACATGAAATTTATATTTTAATGATGTTTGAAATAGGAAAATTGAAAAAATATGAAGGATTTATTCACAAAGTTGCAAATTTGCAAATTTTTTTAAAATTCAATCATAAATTTCAACAAGAGTATAATTATGAAGATTGTCAAGTAACATTTAAATGTTCACAATCGACTATACAACGTTGTCATAATGCAATTAATATGGCTGTACATCGTCTTGGTCTCAACTTTTTATTTCCTACACATGTAATTGAAAAAGAATCTCAATTAAATCTTGAAGAATTTGAGGAAAAGGATAAACCAATTTTTAAAAAAGTGACTCATCAACGGACCGATTCTGTATCATCCGAATCCTCTTGTACTAGTACTACATCTACAAGTAATAAATCTAATAGTACAACAAAATCATTTACAAAAATGTCAGTTGCACAAAGATTATTTAATGTTAAACCTATAAAAAAAAATAGAGAAGTTCCAATCAAATCTAATACAGCAACTAAAGACAATCAATGTATTGAAGTAAAGAATGAAACAAATATCAATACAAATTCAATAAATACATTACTAGAAAATTCAAAAGAAACATCAATTGATTCTTGTAATGCAGAATTAAAGCCATTTATTTCACAAGTAAGAAAACGAAAATTAATTTGGTTTAATAAAAATTTGAATCATTACCAAAAGGAAGCTGTAAGAAATATATTAAAAGGACATGCACGACCATTGCCTTATGTGATATTTGGACCACCTGGTACAGGAAAAACTATTACTCTTTGTGAAACAATTCTGCAAATCTTATCAACTATACCTGAAAGTCGAATGCTAATTGCAACACCATCTAATAGTTCAGCAAATCTTATAGCAGAAAGACTTGTAGATAGTGGTGTACTTAAACCTAGTGACATGGTATATATTAAATTTATGTAATCATACTATACAAAAATTTTTTGTGGAATCTATTTAAATTTTTAATAATACTTACATATTCAGAA